ACGAAAGATTCAATCAGGTGTTGGCATCCAGAATCCAATCTAAACATTTAACATAACTTTAACCCAATTCCGCGAAATTCGTCTGCACGATCATGAAAGGACTTTAATTAAATTTATGACAAAATTCAAAACGATATGTGAGTTCTTGTTGTATGATTGAAGTCTCCTAAAATAGAACGCATGATTCATTCGCATAATTGGTCCACTTCGGAATGAATCTGCCAGTAGACGGAGGAATTTCAACAAAAAAAAAACAACAACAACTAGAGATTAATTAACAAACACGAATTGGCAAATTTCTAAACGCAACCATTATTATCGAGAGACACAGGTAAAATAGAAACACTCTCCTTTGTTTCGTTTTCAAGGAAGACTAGATGTTCAAAAAATTCTTGGAAACGAGATGAAAACCGCAAATGCTAAATTTATGATTTATATTCAAAAATGTATTTTGTAAATTTTACGCGAAAACTAAAAGAGTTTTGAATGAAACGCGAAGCAAATAAGAAAGCCGGAAACGGTAAAGGACAAATAATGGAAAAATAAATATATCGCTGCGAGTTCACGCTTGAGAAACTTCAGTATGATTCACACATACGTGAATCGGCTTTTCAATAGAATGCACTTTAATTGAAACAAGAAAAGAAAAAGCGGATCAAGAGAAAAACAAAAATAAACGGCGATTCTTCAGAAAACGAAAACAGGAAAGACCGAAGAGATTTTGCATGAGACGTGGCCGTGAATTGATCCAAGAATTCATAAAAACAAAACAAAGTATTAAAGGTACAAACTATAAACAACAAGCCAGAGCGCATTTGTTTAATAAAGTCAGTTTCCGTTTCAGAAGAATCGAATTATCGTTAAGGACTAGAGATTTTTTTACTTTTGGACGATTGGAAGAGCAAATAGTTCTACTACAGAACAGGAGCAGTTTACATATAGAGAAGAAAATCAATAGTGCAAGAAAACAAACAAAACAGTCATCATAACAAACTTGTTTTATTTAATTTTTTTTTCCTCCTCCTCTTTTTAAGATATATTTGCTCAAGACTGTGGCTTATCGTTTCGAAAGAGTGTAAAGTAAATAAATAGAGAGCTAGATTTTCGGTGAGAGAAAAACGAAGAGAATTTTATCGGTGATAACTTGAAAATTCGAAACGCAATTCGCGTCGAATTGCGCGTTTTATTTTCAATTGGAATGTTTGCAAACATAGAAATGCATCGCAGACTAAATTGAAGTTGTGTTAATTTGTATTAGAATAATTAAGTTGATTGATGTAGAAATGCACGTTTTGAAAAAGAAAAAATCAGAGCTTGTTTGTCTGAAAGTTGACTGACGTGTGCGTGTTAAGAGTTGTTTTGGGGCGAAGAAGTAGCAGCTGATGGAATCTTTTTCTTCTTCTTGTTGCGCTGGTCGATTGTTATTATTGATAGGAGGAGAAGGAAGGAAGGAAGAAAGGCGACAGCAGGGATGAAAGGGCGGAGGAGCAGTGCACCTGTCTGATTGTTGCGTTTGTTTTTGTTGGTGTGGACTCTGCAGGTGGTCGAAGCACGTGCCATCATCATCATCATCAACAACAACGATGATCCACTGCTTCGGCGAGTGCGAAGAAAATCGGGATCGCCGATTGCGGTAGGAAGGTGCAATGTGTGTGCATGCATGCAAATACTGCTCGTTCGTTACGAGCATATATCTATACTACATAGTGTGCATATAGTGTGATAGTAATAATAGTAGTTAGTAAATTGTGCGCTTCGCTTTTGCACCTCCGCTGCTGCTGCTACGACTCGTTTCTTTTTATTTTGTTCATATCCTCTCTCTCCTCTTCTCGGTCGGTGTGTAGACAAGTAGAACACGTGCGTACTATATTTAAGTCTACGCCGGCTATGATTCCCGCGCGCGTCTAGATTAGGAGAGCAGTAGTCGAATTATGTCAAGTCAAATGGAGTGGCAAAAATGCGGTGCCTATGATCGGCACAGGGCTCTATACTACTACACAGCGATAGAGAAAGAGAGAGTTGTCAGCTTAGCAACTAAGTTGCGTGCGAATAATCTAATCTAAGTCGAACCGTTGCGGCTGAGGCCGAGACGGGTGGAGGAGAAGGCGGGGAGGAGTAGCTGGAGGATCCTTGTTTATATTATGATTAGAGAGGACGAAATTTTCATTCATTGCTCCCCATCATATCTCTTGCTCGACGACGCACTCTTCTTCTCCACATCATCCACACTCGCTCGCCTGATCCAGATAATAAAAAAATGTAAAGCCATATTTATATAATCTCGGATGATTTCGGTTTTTCTGGGTCAAACGATTCAATTTTTTTTTTTATAATTAGCGCCAAATTGAACTTTGACAAAGTTTTTTTTATTCTCCAGTAAATCCTCATTAACAAAAAAAAAACGACTTTTCATATCGCAAGATCGAATCTCAAGAAAATCAAGTTTTTACTGTGATGATTTCGATTAGACTGTAATGTCTACATTTATATAACAATCATATATTCTATGAATTTTTTTGTATAATGAATTTCATTTAAATACTTTACGTCTTTAACTTAAGTTAAATAAAAAGTGGACTAAATTGATTTATACATAAAGAATGTAGTCATTATCTGAAGATTAACGGTTATCTGGAGATTGTTTTGCAACTTGCAGAAAGTAAATCGTCTTAATCTAAATTTGCATTCGTACAAAATATCTTTAATCAAAATTTGTTGCGCGTTATCTGCACTTAATTTACATCTTTATAATAATAATATTAGATATAAATTACGCATTTTATCGATGTTTATATAACATTAGCGATTATCAAGTAAAAAAAAATATATATAAAATAAGATTTTAGCTTTAGCGAATAAATGTTAACTGTGGTATAACTTCTAATTCAATAAGTTAAGCGATTAGGTCGTTAGCCCTGTCGCAACCCCTCCGACTTAAAGAAAGATTTACGTTTGTAATACGCACTTATTTCTCAGTGTATCCATTACAAGTAATTGCTAGAAAATTTAATTATAATGTTGTTCTCTCTTTTATCCTTGGCAAATATGATATCTTTGATTTGTAAATTATTTTAAATGAATGTCTACTTCCTAGACAGTTTAAAAGCATTTTAAGGATGTATTTCTTGATGATGATGTGTACAGCGTATCCATATAGTTAATGGATAGTTTAAAGATTAAATGGCCATCCGGAGGAGAGTTATTATCATAATTCGTGCTAACGGTGGTGCGCACGGACTAATTAATTAGATGAGCGTCTGGATCCGGCTTTGGATGTGAAGGAACGATGAAAAGAAGGAGAGAAGGTGAGAGCACGGTGTTTCTGGGTCAGAGGAGGAGGATTTCGTCCGGATTTGGACAACGAAGAGGAAAGAAATCCGTCCGTCCATCCATTGAGAAACGTTTAGAGTAGAGTTGATACAAGTACGGTGTCGAAACGAGAAATTAAAAATGAGGAAGCGAAGGCGGCTCAGACGACGACGGCGGCGGTTGCGTAAAAGACGGAGTGAGAGCAAGAGAGGTTTAAAATTAGAGCCTCGATGGATGCCGTGAAAGAGAAAGAGAGAGTGTGTGTGTGATGCGGAGCGAAGAAGGAGAGGCGGAAGAGTCTGGTCTGGACTCTCTTGAAAACGCTGCGCGTTTTAATAATACAATATATGTGGGTGGAAAGAATGAATCACTTATATTATATACTACATACTATTACGGCGCTCGCTCTATGGAAATGCTGCTGCTGTTGCAGAGGGTGCGGCGCGGCAATTTCGGAAAAGCGCTCTCTGCTCCCATTCTATTCAACAATATCAATCTATTGAATATATCTAGCTCAAGAATCATTACATAATTGTATATATTGCGAATTATAATTGGTCATCATAATACCACTTCGGTACAATAAATGAAAAAAAAAATGCTCTGTGCTCTGGGTGTGTATCATCATTAAGAGAAGGGTCAAGCGGCGAAAAACTTCTTCTCTCGTTCGGTTCTTTTTGCTACCTTTTCAAAAGGAATCTTTCTCATTCTCTCTTCCCTTTGGGTTTGTGTTGGTGCTGTCTCGTTCGTTCACTGTCCGTAACTCGGCGGGAACGGGCGGCGTTCGCATTCCTTCCGAGAAGTCGGGGCCGTTTCGGCGACGGCAAAACACCAAACCGACCGAAAATAATTCCGAGAAAATGCGCCGCCGCATTCCGTCGGTGGCCACCGTTCACACGGCCCAAGCATTCCACCGATTTCAAACCAATATAATCAATGAAAGAGGAGAGAATACAAGAATTGGGCGGAAAGAGAGACAAAAAAAAAAAAAAGAAACAAACGAAGCAGCAGCAGACGACGACGAGATGATGATGATGCGATGAGTAAAGAGATAAATGGAGAAAAACCCTTTCCATCACTATTCTCATACAAATTAATTTTCCCTTGGCGAGAGAGATAAGATTGTCACACTCTAGTCGCACTATCGGGTTTTGACCTTTAACTAAAATACATACATACAATAAGAGAGTATGCGGCATGTAGATGGATAGATAGAAGTGAGTGTGTGAGAGAGAGAGAGAAAGAGAACGAATATGAAACCGGTTTTATGTAAGTTATGTAACTCGTGTGCATCGCGCGCCGGGTTTTCCTGAAGAATGTGCAAACTACTACTACCGACTGACGGCTGCTGCTCTCATTGCTGCGCTTTGCAGATGCAATGCACATCTATGATTCAATTGAGCGCTGCTGCTGCGAGTTGTTGAGTCACACAAATTTGGCGCCAATTCGCTGGGCGCGCGTGTTATATTTAGCGCTTTCGTTTCCGGCTCTCTAGGAAAGAAGAGAGGTGGAGGAGGAGAAGAAGGACAAAACCGACCGACCGATCGACCGACCATCGCTTTTACTTGTTAACTAACTACCTGAGATCGGCGCGTCTGTACCTTCCAGGTATAACGCCAAGAATAATATACATGCGATGCCTCTTAATATACTAAATGAAGGGTGGTGTCGATTTGCTCGCCGCTTCTTACCTGAATCTGACGGAGTCTCGATGCCCAAACTGCTCATCCTCATCGAGGCATTCTTATCTTTGTGGTAGCAGTGATCGCTCGTGAATTGGGTTGGAACCGGCGCCGGCGTCTCCTTGGGCTTCGGTTGCTCATCCATGACCTGCAGCAGATCCGTGTCCTCAAAGTAATCGTACAGATCGCTGTCGCACTCTGAGATTGCGTCCTGCAGCAGCTGCAGCGTCACCGTTTTGGCTTTAGCTTCTTCGTCATCGGAATTTGGCGGGGAATCCAACACCGGTATAATGGATTCTGCATTCTGCTGCTGTTGGAGCATCTGTTGTTGTTGCTGTTGCTTGATCTGCGTCTTCAGCAGTAGACTTCTCCCTGTTGGATTCGAGTACGCCGAATTCTTATTTATCATCGTCAATGCTGATGTGGTCGTCGTCAGCAATGCAGAATTATTGCTCGAATTATTGTTGGCTACGGTTGGGATGAACTTGAAGCTGTGAGCTCTGGGCTCGTCCACGGGGTGCTCCTTGCTACCGCAGTGTCCTGCCCACATGCAATCGTGATTTCTGATCTCGCATTCTTCGCTGTTGTTCTTCAGACTCGACAGCGTAGAGCATTCTCTATCCAGATTACCGAAGTCTTCGAAGCTGTTAAGCACGTCCTCCAGAGGCCAATCGAACTTGTTCCAAATATCATCGGACAGAAGAAGTTCGTTTGGCGCGAAGTTCGCAAAGCTCTCGCTAATTCCCACAACCATATCATCATCATCGTAATAAATGCTGTCCATCTTGACAGGCATAATTTTTATCTTCTACTTAAATATTACTCTTATCAAAGTTCACTTAATCACTAATATCACAAGTTGGCCCTGGCTGGTCACTTCTACAAGAAAGAAACTACATTAGTTTTATTTACCCCTACAACTATTAATACTACTGACAATTAGTATTTACTTGGTACTTTTGAAACTAATTGTATCGAATAGGAAGATCGGAACGATATACTCACCTTCTTAAAAACTACGTAGAGGTATATTGAATTAAAGCACTTATCTGTTGTTGTTGTCAACAAAAAGAACAAAAACTTTTTATAGCTTCGAATAATCGCAGAAAACTCTTGATCGACAAATATTCATACATACACTATATGTATGAATATATCTCTATATGAAGATGCAGAGTGTATGTATGAATATATATAGATATAGGTGTATGTATATATATATATAGTTTAATTCCACAGTTTTTTCCTAACGCACGGCGTGTGTAAAACGAAACAGATCGGCGACGATATCAATATCACGTTATTAACAAAACCACACTTCTTCTCCTCTACATTCAACTTTGTATACATGCTTAATATTAAAGGATTAAGACTACGAAATAGCTTCGTGGAGACGTCGTATGTCCTCTTACGAAGGTGGTTCTGCAACTACTGAGGATCGTGAGAAAATCGTTCGAAAGCATGCATAGCAAGAGGCAGGAGGCAGGCGGCCGGTCGGAGGAGCCGGCAGTGGCCGCCAACACTCATTCTCATCCTGATTTTGCATGAAACTAAACAGTTTCCAGTTGTGACAGTTCGTGAATCCTCTTCCCAGCATCCTAACCTATCGATCGATGCACAATTTGCATCCGATCATGCCGTACTTTCAATACAATTTGCAAAATAAGATGTACTAGTTTTTGACGCGCTCGTTTCATGCGCAGTCGTCGCTCTTGGGCGGCAAGCGCCACATCCCTACAACCACATAGTAAAACGCTGCACCAGTGGTTCGAAACTGGCATTGACTGGCGTCCTCCGAGCCCATTCAACCGGCTCGCGCAAAAGGACAACACCCCATCGAAAACCGTTTCGCTCTCGCTGCTCGCCTCATGTCTAGACGCTCGTTTAACCAAATTATTAATCCCTAATTACTCCTCCACTACTAGTCCTATCCCAAAAAAAAACACACACATATACACAATAAACATCATTCAAGACACGACCAACAATGATGTCATCCCGAGAGACTTGATCTTAAACGAATCGTGCGGTTTCCCCCTTTATTCATCACATACCAAACAAAATATAATAGACTGCATATTAACTAACTTTTAATGAAATCTACCATTTATTGTATTATAAAAGATATATTACTAAAGATATATTATACTACATCTAATAAATTACATCAAAACTAACGCGCTAACAACTTAGGCAATAAAAGTTTTTAGACCATCTTGCCAAAACTACAAATCACGGTTTTAGCTCATTCAACTATTCATTAACAATCAAAACTTTAAATATACAAAAAAAAAACTGAACAACAACAACTTTGCTAATAAAATCAGTTCATTCAAGTTTTTAGAGCTTCATTCCAGAGTTATGTCCAAATCCAATGAAAAATATAGTTAATGATTACTTAACAAACAAATAACTAATCATTTCAGAGATTTTTTAAAAATTTTAGATTGGTGACATAAATTAGTACCAATGATGTCATCCTGACACTTAACTGTAAACAAAACGTGCGGTTTCCTTTACCTTATCATATTATATCACATACCGCAAACCAAAACTATTCATTAACTACTTATTAACTCTTCGAACCATTACAAACAAATATAATATAATTTAAAATATCTATTGTGAATTATCACTCAATAGTTACAACTTTATAAATTAGAATTTGTAATTGCGAAATTGGATTAATTATTATGAAATTTCCTGTAAAGTTTACAGAATTTTGAACATTCCATCATATGCTGCTGTCACCCAACAATTTTCATTAACTAATCATCAGGAAAATAAGTTTTTTTTTTTAAATTATGTTTATATTACTTAACAGTTTAAAACTTCGGACTTTGCATGTTGCAAAATTTGGAATATTTATAGTTTTTTACTACCGAAATACGAAATTGTCTACTAACTGTGACATTCAATATAAGCAAATTATAGAGTAAACTATAAACAAGCAAATATTAAAAAAAAAACGAGAATTCATATTCGAAAAATAATAATTTTGCTAATATTCGCGTCCAAGTTTAATTATTTACATCAAAAAATTAAAAAATAACAACAACCAGACAAAGATTTTTTTTTGTTAGTGCCAGTGATGTCATTTGGAGACAGTGGTCAAGTGAATAGACGCGTGCTAATTCGTTTTTCCCGCGTCACGCCTTGCATACTCGGAAAAACGCATTTGCATTGGAATTTTCGCGCCTCCATTCGTTCCTAGTATGCTAAAAATAACGTAATTAAACGGACTTATGCAATGCATCGACTCCACTTTTTTCGTCATTATCAACTTCTCCGAAGGAAAAAATTGTTAATGCGAGCAGGAATTTGAAATTGTTATAAACGAACAACAACATAAACATCCACCCAAGTTCAAGACGCGAAAACAACAACAACAATAACAATAACAACGATGAAACGCGCTAATTGGTGGCATTCGTCGACGGGTATTTATGTCCCGTTCATAATTACTGATTCACATCTTTAACAACATCTTTATTATTATTTTTTTTCTCCGGACTCGAGTAAACAGACTACAAAGTATTAGTTTCATATCTTATTTGTGTTAATCTTAATAGGAATATTGGATATAATAAATGGGTTGAAGCAACGGTTTTGAAAGTGCTTTTGTTTGTGGCGCAGAATTTAGTTCCAAATTTGGCTCATGTTTTGCCCGATATGTTTCTCTACGTCTTCTATTTATTTATTTCGCTCGTTGGCAAAATTCCAAGCAGGTAAGCAACAAAAACACATGAAAAGAAACTCAGTTGGAAATCCCTGAGTTTCCTTTTTAAGAAATAACTCTCGGCTAATTATGTAAAAAATATAAAAACATATACGATTTATCTGTTCGCGTAAATAATGTTTATTTATTTGTACGTTCGGGTTAATTAACGCGCGCGGAATAAATACATCATCATACATTCTGCAGATAATGTTGCATAAGTTTAGTAATTTTGTCGTTGCTACATTGGTGGTTTGCGATGTTCGAATTGATTAATTAATTATTCATTAATCTTCATTAACAATGAAAAGCGCAAGTTATATTTATTCAGTGTTTCTGTGTGTGTGTGTGTCTCATTAATATTTTTTTTTTGTTTTTGCATCGTTAATGTTTGTTTAAATAATAGTTTTTGAATGGATGTATGCCGGTATTACGAAGGCGATCCACGGAACCTGCATGCAAATGAATCGAAATTGTTTGTGAATTGTTTTGCTGTGAGCCGCCGCGATTTCCACGTAAAATGATTCGTGTGTGCACAATCCCGCACCCAGCGTCCGGAGTTTCCCACCTTACAAATTTCCCGCTATCCGTTCGCGCGTTTTCCACATCGAAACATTTTTTCATTTTCGCGAATTTTCAATTTGCAAATCAAATTAACTTGTTCGGAATACAGAAACGATTCTATTAAATTTTGAAAATAAAATTTGAAATTTTAGTAATAATAAATTACTCATTTATTAAAGCAAAAAATTAATTCATCTTTTTCAAAAATTTCACTTTGAAAATTAATGAAAATTAAGTTTTTTTGAATGGGCAATTTTTTCAATAAAATTTCCCAAATTAATTTATTTTTTATTTTATTCCACCATAAAGTAAAAATATAATTGAATTACAGGACAAATTTGTGTATAAAATTTCTCAAATTTCTGTTTAACAAATAAAATTTACTTAAATGGAAAAAAAAATAATCGACTTTCTTATTAAATTTTCCAAAAAAAAAAACAATTTTCTCATCTACATAATTCACTGTTAATATACTATAATATTGTATAATTAATTAAAACTTTGATGAAATCAAGTTTAAATCATTAAGATTTATAGCTCATAATCGAAATTAACTTAACCGAAACAAACATAAATTTTCTTATATACATATTTCATTTTATACAATAATAAATTAGGTTTTTGGAAAGAAATTAAAATTTATTATTGCTAAAAATATTCACTTACAACAAGAAAAACAACATTTTTTTTTTCTATAAAATTTTCCAAATTTTCAATTTCTGGTTTACCTATAAAATCTATATGTAAAACAATAATAGATTAAATGTTTTGGAAGGAAATGGAAGTTCAAATCATCAATATTTACAAACCGGTAGTGGAAATTGATTTATCCTGAAAAACTATTACAAATCCGTCAGCGTCACATTTGCATCACCGGATGATTCACGCGATTTTCCTCAATTAAATTTCTCATTCATAAATTCTCATTGTTAAAAGTGCAGTTCCGAATCAACAATGAAACAAAAATATTCAAGAAAATTGACTATATTTCTATATAACTTTTTCTAGTTTTTTTTATTTTTATAAATAAATAAATCTTATAATACAATATATACGCTTTCCAATTAGCTTTGCGCAGTTGTAAATTCACGTGGGGACTATAAAATAATTAATCTCGATGTTTCAATGGAAACCAATGGCAAATGCGAAACGTTTTACGATCGAACTTTCTAATTGTAGGCGAAGGTAAAGAAAGAAAGAAAAAAAAAACGTAAGAAGGTGGAGGAAATTTCGCGCACTCGATTCATTTAAGACAAAACACGTTCATTAGCTTTACTTCAACACTATTAATACGTAATATGTAAGTAAATAATTAAAATTTGCGTGCGCGTTATGAACTTTCCAACGATATTAATGAGAACATAATAAGAAATATGTACGTAATCGAATTGCGAATTTCCGCAATCCAAAAATTGTAAAAATTAAAATAAAATTCAGTGCTGAAAAGTCAAAGTTCTCAATTGACCTATTTGAATATATATATTATTCTATATATTTTTTTTGTTTCTTTATAATAACCCAAGGCCCGTTCAATGTCAGCATACCGGTGTGAGCGGATTGCGAGAACTATTTCTATCCGCTTCCGAATCATCTACACATACAAAAAGGTATTTTTAAAATGCGACTATTTCCATGTCGCCTTTCGCCTCCACCCCAAAAAAGCGCGTATAAATAAAGATTCACGCTTCTGCAAAAAAAAGAAAAGTAAAAGAAAAAGAGTTCTTACAACGGAATTGTTGAATGTTCACGAGTGTTGTAATAATAAAATTTAATAATAATAAAAAAAAAATCCTTTGAATCTATCTATCGGAGCCGACTGTTCCGTTTCCGCCTGCCGCGATTGTTGAATCACACGTGTGCGTGTATGTGTGTGTGCGTTGATTCGTTAATGAAAGTGTAATTAGAGATTGCGAACGTCAATTAACGCACATGTGTGCATGTGCACGGTTTTATCAATGGAAGGGAAAAAGCGCTGAGTTTTGCGGCGCGGCGCGAATTACGCAAGCGGTTTGGTTTGTACGTTCATTTGTTTTGCTGCCCTCCCGAAAATCGAATTGAAACAAACAAAAACAACAAGAGAAAAGAAAATAAAACCGTGGGTTCGCACGAGTCGCGAAAAAAATCGACGATTCGGCAGGATCTTCGAATAGGAGAAGAGTTCCGATGTTGTTTACGC